CACTTCGAGGCATTGAGTACCAGAAAAATTAAGTAATTTGCACTTTTCCTCCTAGCCCAATTAAAAAAGCTTGCACTTTTCAAATTCCCAGACTTGGAGCTTCCTTGAATGGTGTTCCATCTGGGAATGGGGAGGTATGTCACAAAGCCAGAGTTTAAGATTATTCTATAAGCCACAAGAACATATATGAATCTGTTATTTGGAATTCAGAACACATTATTCCTCAGCAGGACAACCATAAACCTGAATTGGTACTTACACTGCATATATATTAATCTGCGGTGTTATATTTAAACACAGAGGACATACGTATAACAGTGCCTTCAGCATTTTAGTATAAGATGCAAAATTTGCCTCTGTAATTATTCATAATGCACCTTAACAACAGTAGATAGAGATCTAAAACTTCAAATTCCACGTCTGCTACTTGTATAAGACTACAAGGTAACCTCTTCCTGGAAATAAACAGTGGACAGAGAATCAACAAACTCTATCACTTACCCTATCAAAGCAAGTGTTTTCACAGCCCTCTGATCTCCCACATTAAGCTCTCCATTTTTATTTGTAAATAAAAATGTTAAAGACAAACTGCATACATATCTTAACTCTGTTAGGGGCACAGAGCTCTCTGTCAGACACTTATTTTTTCTAATCAGTTACTCAACAACTACTGCAATATGAGCTTCACATTCTCACTCTGGAAATTTTCCTCAACACCACACTTAAGATACTTACCATAAAACTCACATTAAAAAATCCTATAGACTAGTGGGACATGGATGTCCTCTAAAATGCACTATGTAGTTTGAAAACAAATACTTAGCTGTCTTCTTCAGCTGTGAACTATCAATATTCAGAACAATGTAGAATCTCCAACTCCAATCAAATTTTAAATCACAGAATTATAAAATTGATGGCATCTGCTATAAGCACCTCATTCTTAATAAATTATTAAATGACTTAAACCATATTCCAAAACTAGTTAGTAGCAGAACTAGGCCTAGAACCTAGATCACGTGATTCTCTATCCAGAGCTCTTTCTGCCATCCCTTACTACCAATTTAACCAAACTGTATAACTTGGCTGGAAACTGATCAGATCAAAGAAGGGCATGAAAGCTACACACTCCAAAGGCAACTTAAGGAAGGGGATTACAAATAGACCCCAAGAGTTCCTATTTCTAAGTAAACTATTCCTAAATTTGCTCCATTTTAAACTTTTTCTAGGTTTCCTTTTAATGCTATAGAAATCAAAAATATTTATAGCTCAAGAATTCATCTCAATATTCTTGAGATTAATAAAGGCCAAATGTCTATACCAACACTGCCCAAGAGAAATTTCTGCAATGATGGAAATTTTTGTATCTTCACTGTCCAAAATGGTAGCCACTAGCCACATGTGGTTAATAAGTACTTGATATGTGGCTACTGCAACCGAGGAGCTGAACTTTTAATTTTAATTAAATTTAAATAGCCACATATCTAGAGGCTACCATATTGGACAGTGCAGGTCTAGATAATCCCCATCAGAAACAGAATTAGCTAACAAAATAATGAAAACTGAGCAGTTTTTACTGTATGAGCCATGGGAAGCAGCTGAGACAGCATGGAAAGAACACACCATTCTGCATTTGGAACCCAGAGGTTCCAAATGAAGTCACTATTTATCAGCAATAAGAAGTTGATGAAAGCACATAATCTAAGTTATAAATACAACACATCTGTAAAATAGGGCTAAAAGTACCTGCCTTTGTGAAGACTGTGTGATTAAATACTGTTGTATGTAGAAGTCCTCTATAAAACTTAAATCTCCGTGTACAATTATATATCATTTCTATAACTAGTTCGGGGAAAGAAAAATGTGGCTATAAACCAATTACAAAGCTATTAATCTAAGCCTAGCCTCAACATGATTGAACACCTGAAGCGAGAGTCAAGTGATATTGCACATCACTGCCTCATGACAGGTAGATCAAGTACATAAAGAAAATGGTATTTGAATTCCACCAAAAGATGATTTAACTGTATGCCTACATTCTATATTCTTAAAAGCTAACTTTTTCGCTTTTTAACAGCTAACTGACATGAATCAAAATGTAATAAACAATGCCAAAAATCTGACATCCTTCCTCTTAAGGAGGCAAAAGACAAAATACCGGCAAGCCCACTGACAAGGCTCCCTCACTCCAAAAGAAAAACAGTGAAACAGCTCTTTGCTGTCTGGCCACAGTGTACAACTGTGGTGGTACTAAAGGACAGCAGAAGTCCTAGGATCTTCTCAATATCCAGAAGACAAAAGTATGACCTCTGTCTATAGGAACATATATAATACCACCACTTTAAACAGTTACAGAATTTTAAACTTTTTACCTATTTTCCTGAAGATTATATCTCATGTGATTCTTGTGATAATTCTATTAAGTAAATAAGGAATAGTCTGATATACTAAGAAGCTGAAAATCATCATCAAAATTAAACACAAGCATATTATTATATAGCATTTTCCTTACCATTTATAATGAGGTTAATTTATATCTATACATGCTCCCTTGTTTAAGGAAAATCAACAAACATAAAAGGTTCTACCAACTCAAACAAACTAAATAGTATATTTCCAGATTTTGATAACAATGATCCAAAGACAGAGAAAACAAATTCTTGTTAAATCCAAGATTTCTTCCGAGATGGCATACCCATATCCTTTTAACTCTGACTGAAGGACCATGCATTAAAATCAATCCAAAGGCAAATAATGAAAATTCCCTGGCCTCTGCTTACTAATGAGAGTTGGTTATCCCAAAGAGGGCTTTTACATTTTTTAATTAATTTACCAGCCATAAATGGCAAGCTTTTTTATTATTAGCAATACAATTGAGTATTTAAATTTTAAAGTACTGGTTTTCTTATTAAAAAGATAATATCTCTACAGATTTTTAACATGAAATATCCCTGAAAAATATATTTCCATACACATCCTTTTATCTCAAGGGTAGTCTCCTTTTGCTATCTTACACTTATTAACCATTTTTCTCTTTTCTCACTTAGGATCAGCTTTCACTCCTCTTTTTTTTTTTTTTTTTTTTAAAGATTTTATTTATTTTATTTTTTGCCCCCAAAGCCCCAGTAGATAGTTGTATGTCATAGCTGCACACCCTTCTAGTTGCTGTATGTGGGACTCGGCCCCAGGATGGACAGAGAAGTGGTGCCTCAATGCGCACCCGGGATCCGAACCCGGGCTGCTAGCATCGCAGCGCGCGCACTTAACCACCAAGCCACAGGGCCGGCCCTCACTCCTCTTCCTTGCTAATCTCTGAATTGTCTACTCACAAATTAAAACTCATATAAAAAAATAGTGGAGATAAGCAGTGGTCCAACTTGTTTTAAATTACCATCATTTTAAATCTGTGAAACAAGGGATAAATATGTAAGATGAGAGTTTTAAATGACATAAATCTCCTAAGGAAAACAAACAAAAACAAATAGAAATCCTAACTAAAAATCTTATTAATAAAAACTCAAATTGATACATTAAATAAAATCGGATTTTACCCTAAATTGAGGTAAATGATTTGTCAACTAATACATCACTTTAAATTTCACCTTAAAAATTAACCCAGTTAATGAACTATACATCAAAAAGAATAAATTTTATTGTATATAAATTAAAAAATTTAAAACAATGAACCCAGTTAAGAACAAGTCTTTATTACAAAGCTACGCTTCTTTAAATAAATGGGAGATGTGTCGTTTTGGTAAGAAATCTGCTACCAGTATAACACTTAATGTATTTAGACTATCTTTCCATAATAACAAGATAACTTTATTACCACTTAATCATCTATAAATAGACTTCATAATCAAGCCATTAAAATGAACAGGAGTGTAGGCAACTTCTTTTCTAATAATATACCTACAGTCTTAAAGGAATGACCTATGTGATTATTGTTTTATGGAAAACTCAAATACTAAAATTTTGACGCTACAATTCAAGTCCAGTTATTTTGGGCATTTTAACCTGAAAATTACAGTAGGTTAGAGATGAACTCTTAAAAGTAGCACTTAGTACAAGTACAAGATGTGGTTTTAGTTTCTGTTTTTCAGAACGTATATCAGAAAACGAATATTTAACTTATATACACAGAAAATATTTATTGAAATCTTATAAATGTCTATGAAACCCCAAGAGGTGTCATATAAGTAACACTAGGAATCTCTCCATTTTCTACATCCAGACATACCATTATGAATATGGAAATGAACTGCTACTTATTACAAAAGAAAAGGAGCTGTATCTTTATTAATTATCATTGCCATCAGACTTGGATATAAAAGGCAAAAAAAATTGAAAGACTTAGGTACTAAGATCAAGTCAGGGCGGTGCAAATGTATATAGCTCTTTACTTCAGGAGGATCAAGTCTAGTGTGCCATTATCCATTTCTAACTAGACAGAAAATAACTTCTGTGATTACCCTTTAATTGAAGAATAGGTTATAAAACACTAAAAGAGAATTAAGTTTGATTTTTGAGAAAAAAAATTCACTCAAATGCAGTGATTTTAGATGAAGTTTTAGGAACAATACAGACAACTGAATCTAGGTAGAAGTGTCAATAACGTAAATTATAAACATTAGTCTGCTTATTAAAGACCAATCAATGCACTGTGTTACCATGAACAAGAAGGTTAAAATTCCAATGCTCTAGAATTTTTCCTGTGTAAAAGGTACAACTGCTAGGAACCTAAGTCTGATTTTCATTTTTTGTATTCTTGTTCCCTCACACTTACCAAAGTTTCTATTATGTATTGTACTATACATATCTGACTATAAAACAGTTTACACTGTAAACATCAAACATTTGGAAAAAAAAAAAAAAAGCCATAAAATCACTAAAGCAGAATACCCTGTTCCCACCACTGTGTACACACTTATCTGTAGCTGGGCTGGCATTTAAAATTTTACAAACTATCCAGTAAGAATGCTAAGAGAAAATAGTTGACAAACCTGAAAGAATAGCTTCTTTCAAATACAGTAACATATGGGAGAACTTCCTGATATCTTTCACCAACTCCTTGATGTAATCCGGATCAAAAATGGAGTTGGAACTTACGGACTTGAGCCCCATTTCAGAAGTTGTAGCATCAGTAGAGAGCTGGCCTGGTGGCAAAACACGTTTTTTCTTTGTCTTTTTCTGTTTGTGAGCAATCATCCTTTCATATCACAGTCAGAAAAACTGAAATCCTTAAGGGGGCAAGAAAAAAAAAAGAGAGAGAGAAACACAAACACTACATCAACCAGGGAAACATTATACTAGGTTTTCACAAATAGCCCATAGCCCATCTCAGTATTCTATTAAAAATAACAACAAACACTGTAGTACTAATAGTAGCAGTTTCCATTTATTAAATGCCAGTATTCTTGACAACTCTATGATATGCAAACAACTATTCTCTTCATTTCACAAGTAAGGAACATGACATGTGGAGGTTAAATAACTTGTCTAAGCTCTCAGCTGATAAACGATGAACTGGTACTTAAATCCAGGTACGCCTTGTCGCCAAAATCCATACTCTTAATAAGTTCCTCTTAACTGCTAAGGTACAGAACTTTTTAAATGGTAAAAGTTGTCCTGAAATGTCACTTAGTGGAAGGACATATTCTCCTTCCATGATATCACTTTCAAAAATAAAGATGAAACATGAGCTTTGAAAAAAAACCTGTTTTCAAAATCCCCCTCCATCACTTGCTGTGTGTGACCTGACAAGCTGTTGATCATCTCTTCACTTTGGTATGCTCTTTATATTTATAAAATGGGAATAACATCCTGACAACACCTACTTTATGAGATTATTGTAAGCATTAAATGATACAATGACATAGAAGTGTCCAGCACATAAAAGTTGTTCAATTAAAGTTAGTTCTCGATAATAACGCACACACATACATTCTGGGTTACCAAGTTTCATCAAGAATATTTCTTTGTTGAAAACAAGTTCTAAGGATGTCCACTAATCTACCCATACCCTGATTGGTGAGCAAATAAATGTATGACTATCAGAGCGATATTTTTGGTAATTTCAGGATGGTATAGTTAAAAATCACAATCTTTTGGAATGAGAAAGATTTAGATTTGAATCCTGGCTGAATACTTTCTAAACTTGTAACCTGTACAATTTGCTTACAGGCTTGTGTGAAGATTAAAAGGGAACATAAAATTAAGATTTCACTTATTAAAACATCTAATCCTGGCACATAGCTGGAACTCAAGAAAATCTCAGTTTGTTTCTTCTTCATCCTCACATTTTACCTCTCCAGAATTAAAAGTACTAATTTTGTCTGTATCTCTTAAAATCAAAAAGGAAATGATTGGAGGAATTAAATTAGCTCAAGCATTATCATTAAAACATTTTTAAAATATTTTGTCTTGAACATTTGGATACTTTCAAATGGTAGAATTACTAAGGACTTCTGTGAAATTTACAGTAGAAAGTTTTATGTAACATTCATTTCTGGGTCATGTGTAAAATACATTATTGTAGCATTTATTCTTTCCTATACCTTACCCAACTCTATAGACTTTTGCTTCTTAACCTATAGCTCTTTAATCTATCTACTTCTATCTCTACTATAACACTAGGTGAATTACCATCATTTCTTGTCTGAGCTACTGTTACTAATTTCCTAATGATTTCTCCACATCCATTCCTGTCCCATTCCAAATGTAGAGAGTACACTTTTCCAAACATGAACCTCATCATGTCATTTCTCTGCTCAAAACTCTTCCAGAGGACAAGTGAGAAGCTAGGGTACACTACAAGGTTCAATATGACATCTGGATCCTACCTACCTCTTCAATGTCATCTAGAGTCACAATTCTTTCCCAACACTCTAAACATTACTGCCACACACCCTTCTCATTCTTCCAACAATATTTGTTTACCGTGATCCACAGTAGGAAATAATTTTACATCACAAGCCAGTATACACGTTAAGTATGTTATGTTTGTGTGTAGGAATGCATAAAACATAAAACAGATTCTAGCTAAGGAGCCAGGTAATGTACTCAGAGGTATTCTATTTAAAACTCTGGTTGCAACTCACCACGTTGGTTTCATACTCATAATGGGTCATGACCTACAGCTTGAAAAACACCGACTGTTAACTTAGGGTCCTGTCTTTATGCAGCTCCATTTGCCTGGACTACCCCTTCCTCTTTGTTTACTCATTCTGATCTCAGCTCAACGCTCACTTCCTCAAAAAAACCTTCCTGGACCACCCCTGTCCCCATAACCACCACCCTCAATGAGCAGAATCTCCTGTTAGATGCTTTATAGCAGCTTATACTTTTCACTACTGCATTTATCGAAGTTCAAATAGATGATTCATGTCTTCCTATCGAGACTATAAGCTCAAGAAAATCAAGACCATGTCTGTTTGCTAACCACATGTTCTCTGCTCACAGCACAGTGCTTGGCATAGGAGTGATGAGCCACTCAAAACTATTTGCAGAATGAATAATGACTTTGCAGAATGAATAATGGGCTTATAAATTTATAAAGCTTCAATTAATATTTATAGAAACAAAAATAGTTAACTCTACATTGCTGTTTTGAATGGAAAATATAAATGGCCTTTAAAAATCTATCTTTAAGGGCCGGCCTGGTGGCTTAGCAGTTAAGTGCGCGCACTTCGCTCCTGGCGGCCCAGGTTCGGATCCCGGGCGCGCACCGATGCACTGCTTCTCTGGCCGTGCTGAGGCCTCGTCCCACATACAGCAACTAGAAGGATGTACAACTATGACATACAACTATCTACTGGGGCTTTGGGGAAAAAAAAAAGGAGGAGGATTGGCAATAGATGTTAGCTCAGAGCCGGTCTTCCTCAGCAAAAAGAGGAGGATTAGCTCAGGGCTGATCTCCCTCACAAAAAAAAAAAAAATCTATCATTAAAACAGTATCTTAAAAAACCAAGCATATGAAGTTGAGTAAAGGCAAGCTTACATAAAATTGAAATCAGACTTGGATTTCTATTATTGTTTCTCTACTTCTGATTATTAATAAGGTGTCCCAACACTTCTCTAATAGCTTTTAAAGTTCCTTTATTCAATACTCTTGTTAATCTCAAATTATTTCTGAGAATGCAATTTCTACATCTAAACTAGTTTCAAACCTAACATTAATCCTTAAATATACAGGTCATTTCTAAAATGAACCTAGGACAATCTTTTGAGCACAATTATTATACCTAGTCTCCCCACCACCAACAAAAACAAAACACAAGTGCCTCATTGGGCAGCTCTTTCACAGATCACTAATTAAGACTATTAACTTACCACTTTTGCAGCTTACTTAATGAAGTCACTTTGATTAATTTTGACGGTTTTTAGTTTAGTAAATTAGAGATTTGCTCATTGTCAGCAGTAAAATGATGACTATAAAAATTTAAGACGTATCACAAGTTTCAAATAAAACAATTCACCTGTCTCAGCAAAAAGCGTGTACTTTGAGTGTCAAATTAGTAACCCAAAGTTGTAAAAAGTGTTTCAAAAATGCTTAAACATTTTTAGTCAAGACTAAGAAAATCCATAAAGAAACAAACAAAAATGGTGGGGAAGGGAGGATCTAAAAAGAGTAATACTCTACCTGGAGTCAGCATTATGGTGAGTAATGTACTAATTTGTTACATACACTTTACTTTTCATATTTCAAAAAGGAAACATTACAGTTGAAAGAAATTTTTAAATAACATAAAGCTAACTCAAGCTTTCATAAAACTGAACTATGATAATGAGAAAGTTTAGAGGAATCACACTTTCCAAGATCATCCACACTAACTTTTCTATGTGCCAAAATGAACATCCTTTAGTTGGTGGTAATGTAAAATGTAGTTATTAACAGATTGCAACTGGCAATTTAATTAAATGAGATAATAATATGAAAAGCACTTAGCACAGTGCCTGGTTCACCATGAAGACTCAGTAACTGTTAGCCATTATTACTAGCAGTATTTTATTGTGGTAAATTGTTTTTTAACACATTTAAGTAATGAACAAGATGTAGTTTCACTATAATATATCTGTAGATTGTGAGCAAGAACTATAGGAATGGAAACAATTCCAGAAACTCAACTGACTATGTGGAAACCTACTAAATGGCTTCCAAGTGAAGTTTGACCTGTGCAAACAGATTGTTGAGCAAAATATTTGTGAAACTCTCCTAATTCTCATGCACCTCTTCCAACTCCAAACCATCAATATTAAAATCCTGTTTTATCCACTTTGCAAAGAACTTTGTAGCCAACAGAAAATTACTATGCAAAAGTACTTTGTTTGTATGTTCTAAATTCTAAGTAATACGTACATTATAGATGGGAACGCTAAGCTCCCAGTCCCCCAAAACGTGGCTTTTCCGACTTCTGTAGCCTGTATTAACGAAGTCCCAGGTACCTCTCCCACAAATGTATCATTACAAAAGTATTTTCATTTTAGGCACTGCGCTAATTGACGTGTAAAACTGCTCCAAATATCTGTACTTAATAGTTCCCATCTTACTATTTCTACCAGGAAAAAATGCCAGATATTTGAGAAGTCTGCTATTTCAGCACAATTTCTGATTTGGTAAGATTCTACTTAAAGATTAAAAAATAAAAAAGAAAAATTCATTCTGGTCTTTGATTATATTTTTTAAAAGCACCTTCCACAAAAACAGAATAGGTGCATGTCAACAAGGTTTATCAATATTATGCAAATAACTGTAATTTCTAAAGAAAGGCATGCAATGCACATACACTTCATTCCTGTGCAGTTAGAACCCAGCACGTTTAAAAAAGAGGAAGCTGCCTAACCTCCCACGCCTCCAGAATGTCTAGCATTCCTGGCAGGCAGCCTCTCCCCTGACCAACTAAAACTTCCCCAATGTCAAAGAGCACGTACCCCATCCCGGGACTTAAATACAGGAGAAAATGGAGCTACCAAAAGGGGCAGCAGACACTGACAGCGACGGACAAGAGATACAGGCGCAGAGACAGCCGGAGAGAGGGGAAGGGGCGCTCAGCTCTCGCCTTCAGCAGCTAAAAGTCCTGCCCTCCGCAAAGGTATAAGATCAATTTCTTCTTGAGAAAGAGAGTGAAAAAAGGTAAACAAGGCGACACGAGGCTCGTCAGTCACTGGGGCTCCAGCTTGAAGCATCTCAGACTTGAGCTCACCCGTCAAAATGAAATTAAAAAAACAACCAAAAACCATC